TATATATTTACTTATCAAAAAAAGTATATAAAACTGAAGATAAAAATCAGATTATTAGATTATGCACGGAATCTTACCCCGACTTCGCAAAGTTCGCCCAGTATCTCATCATCCTCTTTGAGAGATGAATTTCCTCGTTCGTAAAGTGTTTGGATGGATCCAGCGGTTCCCCGAAAATATAACTTATCTCGTCGGCATGCATGACTCCAGTCCACCGCGGCCATGGATTGTTCACGGACCTGATTAAAATTGTACTTTTTTAGTCATAGATATGCGATTAAAGAAGTAGATGAATTTTTGAATAAATTTATTCAAGAAAAAAATTGTTAATTTGTTAACCCCTTAATATATATTGTTAGTGATTTACAACGACTGAGAGACAAACATATAATACGATTCAATTTCAGAATGCTAAAAAGATCTTCGTAAAATATCTTCCGAAAATTCTTTCGACAATTTTACAATCGTTGACAAAAGTGCATATAGTTGCACAAGGAAACTATTTTATTAAGAAAATATATCTTAAATCACTGTGCATTTCGCATTAAACGTCCGAAATAAAATAATTCCTGGAACTTTTCAAAGTTATCACGCATAGCCGATGCTGTGCGATTGCCTTACGAATGGAGTACAAATCGATCTTTTTACCTGTGCTTGAAGTAGTACATGTAGACGGTATTGCCAGTGTCGGCGTAACGGCCGGCGAACTCGTTGACGTTGCAGGTGAACTGGTAATCGCCGACAAGCTTGTCAAGAGCGTACTCGTAGATAATGGCATGTCGACCGATCTGATTCACATAGGGATTCAGCTCGGACACGGCGCTGATGAACTGATCGCGCGTAACCTTCACGTCCTCGGTACCGTCGATGCGAAACAGCTCCGTGAGATAGTAGATGATGAAGTAGAAACCCTCCTCGGTGTTGGAACCCATCAGGATGTTGGCCTTCTTGAAGGACGACGTGACGAGAGAACGTTGCGGGGTCTCGTCGAGGAACGCGCCGTCAATCACCGGCACGAACGGGAACTCGCAGATCCCGAGGGTGCCCCACTCGTTCTTTACCAGTTCCTCCGCGTCCTTTGTCAGCAGACAGTCGATCACTTCGCGCAGATTGTCGCGTTCGTGCGGACAACCGACCGCCTCCGCCAGCCGGATGCCGCGTACGATCGATTCTTCACGCGAGATTATCGCCCACGGCGTGGTCGGCGAGCCCGATTGCATGATGGCCTGGTTGAACAGGTGCCTGGAATCGAAAATCCCGTATCGGTTTTTTTTTAACGACAATTGAGAAAAAAAGAAACGATCTTTATCCCGCCGTTATTATCGAATAATAATAATATATGAATATAATATTATTATAATAAATAATCTTAAAAACTTGTATTTTTTTTTTGGTATGTAATACTAATTTATATATAAATACAAAATATTGAAAAAGAATTAAAAATAATTTTATTTCTATATTCCTTCGCGGATTTCACATTACGTCTTTCAATCCCTGTTTGCTGTTTGATCAAAACTGACCTGGAAAGCGGTGAGAGGAGATGCATGGAGACGGAGACCGCGCCCGCACTCTCGCCAAAAAGCGTGACGTTCTCGGGATTGCCACCGAAAGCAGCGATGTTGTCGCGCACCCACTGCAGGGCCATCATCTGGTCAAAGAGACCGGCGTTACCGGGCACATCGGACGTGCCAAAGTACAGAAAGCCGAGACTGGCCACGCGATATTGCATCGACACCACGATCACGTTCTCCTCCGAGACCAGGGTTTTGTGATCGTACACGTCGAGGGTGGCCGAGCCGGAATAGAAGCCGCCTGAAAGAGAGGTCGCAGAGATCCTTGGGTTTCGCGGCCGCACAGTATGTTGCCGGCACATATATACATTGATATATATATTTTTTAATATTATTTATATATAATATTAAAATTTGTTATATGTATAAAAACTGAAAAAAAGAAATTATATTATGTTGTAATTAAATTTTTATATAATTATATTTTTCTTTCTTTCATGTTTTATTAATTTTCTGCCGTAATACTAGTAGCTTCAAAAGGTTCCCACAATTGATTGACACAATTTATACACAAAAGTTCCCTCGAATATTTTGTAGCATTACTCATACTGTCACCATGCAAATAGTTTCATATTTTCTAATAGCATAATATCAATTTATTTGATCTTTTCGTACCGTAATTGAAAATGTCTATAACTGAACAACAGAAATTTGACACATTCATTGAAATGTTAACACGGCAAGTATACGGCATGACAAGGCAATAAAAAAATCTCTTTATGACTGGCATAAACGCAGTATGACGTTGCTGACGTCATTCAGAATACGACTGTAAGGCTTAGGCAAAATGGCTTTCAATAATACTTCCGACAGCTTTATAGCCGTTGGTAGAAATATACAGAGAGGACTACTTCGAAGGAAAGGCATCTTAAACGATTACGTATTATGTAATGCTTTTCAGAAGTAACTTCTTGAAGCTACCGCGTCTAATAAAGAACAAAGCTGTCACTACACCAGGCGCGGAACAAACGGTAGATTGATGATGGATTCTCATCACTGGGAACTCACCACCGAATATCCATACCATGACAGCGGCGTTCGTAGGCCTGGGCCGCGGCACAACCACGTTCACGTATAGACAGTCCTCGCTCAGCTGCGTGTTCGGATTCCACATAGTGGCGCCGGAGAAGTCGCCGAACACTGTGTCGAGGATCTGCACGCAGCTGTTCGGCAGGGCGGTCGCGTTTAGCACGCCCGACCAGCGTTCGACCGGTCGCGGATGGCGAAACCTCAGCGGACCTACACAACCAGGATCTCGTTAAATATAAAGTATACTTGAAATTAACCCCCCTTAATAATACAATTTTGTTATTCGTTTTCGCTTTTCCCAATTTTTTACAAGTTAGACACTAGGAAGGTCTCCAAATCCGGAAATCTGTGTATAAAACTACGCAAACAGTCGAGGAAAAATTTATTCTACATCCTTTACTCGGACGATTATAATTAACAAATTTAATTTAATTACTAATAAGTTCAATTTTAATGCGCGCATGCAATTATATTATTTTTGATTATAATTGATATCAATAATATATTAATAATTAAATCATTTTATTATTATAATAATTTATAAATTGGCGACGGTTTAGATTAACCGTCTACGGAGAAAGAAAGTGAAAGAAGAACTTTTCCTCATCTTTCCCCACAAGATATTCACACGATAATAAAATATACATATGTATTTTTTTTTTTTTTGTTTAATTCATATTTTTCTTTTTTCTCTCTCGCAAAGCTTACCGAGAGGTTTTTGGGCGTAAGGAATGACGAACCAGGCGTCGACCTCCTTGCCGGTGGTGGCGGTCAGAGTCTTGCCGCGGGCCATGCCCTTCCTGGTACGTACGACCAGCGGATCGTTGCCGGTGAAAGCGGACGCTCGCGGTAGCTCCTCGCTGATCCTGGAACTCCTGACATCGAATTCTTCGCGTGACGACAACGATGACGACGACGACGACGATGCCTCCTGCGCGACGTGCAGCTCGTGCTCGTGATGTCTGCTACGATGAGACGGCGAACCGCGGCAAGGATCCGGCTGTAGGACGAGAAGCAGGATCAAACTCAGCGCCAAGAGGGCCTCCAGTCTGCCGGGGCCGGTTCGCCAGGAACTTTTAGGATTTCTCGACATCCTGCCTGCTCGGCTGCAAGAGAAAAAAACAAATCGTTAGTATCAAACATATAGTACGTATTTATTTATATTGAAAAAAATGACAATCGCATCTATACGTGTGTGTATAAAACACAGTAAGTGTAAGCGCTTACTTTTGCAAAACTATTAATTGTATAGATGTAATTAATTTGTTTTTTTCATTCAATCTCGTATAAGATATATTTAAATACATAGATATTCGTTATATACATAGGATGCGAATGAAAATGGACAAATTACTTGGTATACAAATGTTTGAGGGAACAATTCTGCGTGTCACGTTGCTTCCGATTACGTCTTCCGTTTTACGATCGGAAATGTTGCGATGAAAGAGTGCGAGGGATTAATCTATCGGAAACTGCTCATTTCTCATCTGTCAAATGATAGGGAGATTCGCAATTTTTAAGAATAAAAATTGTTATTCACAATAATTATATAATCCATATATAGGATAAAAAAAATAAATAATGTTTTTGTACGTGTTGAATATGTGTTTGTAAATATACAAAATATATCGCTCACACATTTCTCTTGTGAAAATCGTGTACTCATTGTCAGATACAAACATAAACATTTTATCTAACACCGTGATAGAAATGGATCCTAGAAAATGTAACTCGTATTTTATATAAAATTCCACAGAACTAAAAAAATTTATTTTATTGACATCTCGCAATAAAATTAGATTGTTTTGTATATATATATATCGAATATATCGCGAGCAGGACTTATTTCCAACCAGATGTGTTATGTTTCACACGGTTGACGCAAGCACGATTAATATAAAAGATGCAAGCGGGAAAGAATAATGCGCCAACGGCGGTGCATAATTGTAAACATATTAATTTCGAAACGATCTGGAGGAAAATAAATCTCTCAAATTTTATCGGATGATTTAAAGGAAGAGAGGAACCGGGGATGATTTTCGAAGGATTCGGTTAATTCGGTCAAAGTGTTATCGCGTCAGTTACACTTTGTCCTCGCGGAGATAACTTTTCGAAGGGTATTTTATAAAAAAAGAAGTAAGTTTATCGCATCCACACGTAAAGTATATGACGGAATAATCGGCGTCGCGAGAAATTAATACATTAATCTTCTTCCTTAAATATTCACTTTCTCTTATCTACCCTTCTCCGCCATTTCCCTTTGCTCTGAACTCCCTTGGTGCAAAGTTATCTTCGTAGAGACAAAGTAACCCTATCCGAGGCGGTAATTGAAGTTGCCTCGTGGTGAAATACGAGACATTGCGGTTTTCAACATCCGAAACCACGTCGATAAAATTGACTAATATTTAATTTAACTAAGTTAATTTAATAAGTATATTATATATTCAGCAAATCAATTTAATATATTAATTATATATTACTTAAATTATATATTAATTATTAATTTTAAATTAGCATTTCAATATTGGTTTACAGATTGACGATTTGGATTAGGCGTTCGCTGAGAAAGAAAAAATATTTTTACATGTTTTCTCCCTTCAAAGATGTTTGAACAATAGTACAGAGTGTGTGTGTGTGTGTGTTTGTGTGTGTGTGTGTGTGTATATGTATATATGTTTTATTTTTACCGTTTTTTCTCGTGAGTATAAAGATGCATCGATAATTTTGTTTATCAGAGAAACGCACACACATAAAGAGGTTCACGTTAAAGCGATTGTTGCACGATTATAAGAGACTCCGGCATCCTTGGACAGAGGCAACTATTACAATTATTATAATTGGTTTCGTTTGAATAATATTTGGACATGTTTCTTTCTATTCTGATACCACTCCTCCGCCGAGCATTCATGATATTGTCATGGTAAGGCCGTTATATAATTGACGGACAGATGATACGCGACCTTGCTTATTTTCCCGCATATTTTTGTAAGTTGATGAAGATTGAATTTCTACCATTCTTGTGCGTAATTGCAATCCCGATGTACGTCATTATACTTTGTTTAAATGTTATTTGCAATATTAGATTTGTGTCATTCAAAACATGAAATAGTGAAGTGTTTTCCAACTGATAATTTACCTCGATAATTTTTCATCTTTGGATATCAAACTTTATATAACCTTATATATACGTGTATGTACACGTGTGCCGATAAACCTGAAAGTTTTTTATATGCGCCGCGTTGATATTCTCGATATATCGAAATGCATGACGAGTATCGCGATACACAGTGTCTCGGAATTACAAACTAAAGCGGATTCTGTTTTAATAAAATCTACAACGCTTTAAACGGAAATTTCCGATGGTGATCAGAGTTATTCATACAGCATTCAAAACATTTTAACAACTTGCAATCTTGCAAGTCGCAGTGCAATGCTGTAAAAACATTAACGAAACATCGAAAAAAAAAATTTTGACTTGTAGAGTATTAAAAATAAAATTTAAAATAAAATGTCCACCACGTTTATTATTACCTTTTCTTTTTACACATCGAACTGATTTCTTAAATTTCAAAAAAGTATATAAGATGATGGTTAAAAAATAACGAGAGATGGTCTTTGCAATTAATTACCGATTTTAATCCAATTAAATCGAAGAAAATATGTAAAAAATGACGCGAGAAGATGTTAATATATTTACATTGTTGCATCGATACAGATATATTGCATCGCATTTGCAATATTGCAATTATACATTTCAATATTTCTATGATTTTTTAATGCAAATAACGCGTTATTTCTTTAAGATAAATGACTTTTTCTATTTAAAATCAATATTTTTTTAGCGAGATTGTCTTAAATGTTCATCATTACTCGGGGAAAGCCGTTTATTTTTGATATAATATATTTCTGTAACTAAGCCTTGAATTTTAAATTCTATCATAGAGTTAGTACTACCCGATATAATAAAATGTAACTTTTTTAATTTCAACGTTACGAAAAGTTTCTTTTCCGATAATTTGAAAACTATCGGTGCCTCGAGAGTTTTGCCAAAGGAAAACTCGACTTTTGAAATTAGCCAAACAAAGTGTCGTTAAAAAATAACATGCAACAAGTGTAATACCTTTATTCGCTGTACTCTTTCGATGGAAAAAAATATATATATCGTGATATCTCATATAATAAGTTTCCAAATGCACTTTCGCACACCGAGACGATGATATATACGCGCCGTGCCCGATAACACGCGTCGATTTTGTCCCTCCCTCTCTCCCTCTCTCCCTTTCCCCGTCTCACACACGTTAGGAGGGATTAGTAGGATGATAGTAGTCTCTAGTTACACCACACGAAGGTCCACGTTGATTAGCAACTTCCTTCTACGTGTTCCGAACGTGCGTTCGGTCACACGCAGCGCGTCCACGGGAACCGTCGTCGCACGCGGAAGTTTACGCACGAGGCCGCGGCTCTAAAACCCGTCGTCAGAAATTAGAATTTATTACTTTACTTTAGCACGTTACAGAGTCGCGCCGTAATCAAAATATTCATGAGAAAATTACGCGGAAACAATGACGCGATTCTCCAAGCAAATTCGCGATATCGATTTTATTTAAATGTTTAATTTAATTAGTAACACAATTAGTATATACTCAATCTAATGCTCTTAACATTTTTCTTTTTATTCCAATCATTCAACTTATTCGAATAACGTCTAGTTTTATCGATTCTCAGAATCTTCACAGACCGTATAAGTCTGTTAATTTTTTTTTTTTATTTTCTAAGAGGCGAAATAAAAAAAAATACAGGAATAAAAAGGAGGAAGGTAAAAGTGAAGCGAATCGCGGATTAAGATCTTTCCTTTCAGACTCACCCCGAGGTCTCTCTCGAAATTTGTCGCGCGATACTTTCCCGTCGACGTCCTCTCGTGCGTTCTCCTCCCGCTTATATCGATACTTATGACAGTTAGTTATTCGATTAGAGTCACGCGCTCGCGTTAAGGATCGCGAAGGGTTATCGCGGTTACTGTGATAATAATGACTATTTCGGCGCCCCGCCGACGAAGCACTGACGACGACGATTGGCAAACGGTCACGAGAGTGACAGCGCGAGGCCGTCGCCGCATTAGAGCCACGAAGCCGACTAGTTACTTCCCTTGGCACACTGCGGCAGCATTATACATGATGCTTGATATTGTATAGATAGATAGATAGATATCGTAATCCATAGTAACGCGGCTGAAATTGCGCGTAAATCGATCGCCGAATTTTCGAGAGAGCCTCCCCCGCGAGACAATACCATTTTTTTTCTACTTTTTCATTTTTAAGAATTGCTATAATCGATACGGGGTAAAGATTTTTTTGAATTATCAATCGCATTCGTTGCTGACACACACATTTAGCCGCCTTTGTAATTACTCTTGAATTAAACTCTGTCTCCTTACGCTTTACCTAATTATATTAAAGAATCGTTTTTCGATCAAAGTGTGATAAAATAAAGGGATAAAAAGTATCTTTTCTCCTCCAAATCATACGCTTTATCCCGATGATAAAGTAACAATTACGCTCGTATCCATCTGGAAAATGAATTCCCTTTACTGTTTTTTCCCCCTTTTTTCTCTTTTGAATTCTCTGGCCTGACTTTTCTTTTCTCTCTCTTTCTTTCTCTCTCTCTCTCTCTCTCTCTCTCTCTCTTTGATACTTACAGCGAGGAAGACGCGAGGAAGGTACTCGATTAGATTTCAGACAGCGGCGATGTCCTCCTCCGAATCCGCGACAGGCAGATCCGCTCTCTTGCCCTGCCCCTCTCCGTCTACATTCTTTGTTCGTGGAGCATCGTCCGTCCCTGCAACAGAACAGCGTAGACTGACATGAGTGATCAGAGAGATTGAACGAGGGTGTGTCGGAAGCGAGGGATGAAACACACTGACAAACGGGGACCGTGGGTTCATTATTTGGGGATTACTAAGTTGTGGATGGGAAGGACGGGAAGAGGGAGAGAGACGCGGTTAGTCGTTTAGTCCTCAGGGCAATAGAGACAAAATATAGCGCAGCTATATGAGAGTGTAGCAAGAGAGGGATAAAGATGAAAAGGAAAAGATAA